TTACCTTCTTCTCTTCTTATCTCTCTATCCGCAGTGCCTCCCTCAGTGACCAGCACACAGTGAGACTTCAACACATACATTTATCGAACATATTAATAAATTAATGAATGAATAAGTGAATGACTGAGGCCCAATATGATTTACCTTTGAAATTCTAAACTTCAAGAAATCTTCCAGTCATATGTATGATCTCCTATCTATTAAGACAAAAGTGATCCATTAAGACCAAGATAGTTCCTCAAAGCTCAAGAATCTACAGTAAAATTTGAAATCTGACAACTCCACTCGTACATAAACCTAAAAACTTGTCTCAAACATTCCTCTACTCCAGATCCAAATTCTTTACTATTTATTGAATTAATTAATAATTGATCTTGAAACTTATTTGTAAGTATAATAGCCTTGAGCTACAATGGATTATAGCTGGGAAAGTTCCCATTTGTCCTTACTTACTGGTTAAGAGTAGCAGCCACCTCCCAGCCGGGTTCCATTTACACACTACTTCTTCTTCAGTTTCTCTCTCATCACAAGAAAGCTCCTGATTCAAATACGGATCAGCAGATCAGCTGCAGGGAGGATCGTCCTAACTACTTAGCTCATTTCTCCACTATGATTTTAGGTGTTCAAGAAAGTATTCGTTTACCCCAACCATTCTGCATTTCAAGGAGCCCTAGTGACGGAGTGGTTAAAGTGCTTGGCTGCTAACTGAAAGGTTGGTGTTTCGAACCCACGAGCCTCTCTCCACAGGAGCAAGATGAGGCAGTCCACTTCTGTAAAGATTACAGCCTTGGAAACCCTATAGGGCAGTTCTACTCTGTCCTATAGGCTTGCCATGAGCCAGAATTCAACTCTATGGCAACGGTTTGGTTTGTTCTTTGTTTTTTTAACATTTATCGTGGTAGATCGAAGCTTTCGTTCCACGATAGATCTATGGAATAAACTCCCCTCCAGGAAGAGGACATGGGCCAACAGCTGTCCCAAGGCTTCACCAGCGCCCTGGGGATCCTGACGGGCCAACAGCTGTCCCAAGGCTTCACCAGAGCCCTGGGGATCCTGACAGGCCAACAGCTATACCAAGGCTTCACCAGAGCCCTGGGGATCCTGATGGGCCAACAGCTGTCCCAAGGCTTCACCAGAGCCCTGGGGATCCTGACGGGCCAACAGCTATACCAAGGCTTCACCAGAGCCCTGGGGATCCTGACGGGCCAACAGCTGTCCCAAGGCTTCACCAGCGCCCTGGGGATCCTGAAAGGGGGTGGGGAGGGTGAGAGACCTGCAGAGACGAGGGGGGAAAGTTGGGTGAACTTAAGTCCATCTTTAACGACTCCCCAGTTTTTCCCTGAGCTTGCCTAGCTTGTAGACTACAGGCAACCCATTTAAAGTCAGAATTATTGGGTTTGGATTTTGGCAAGGCCTAAAGAAAGTGGCTTGTGGTTCACTCTCGCCTAACGCTCTGCTGTGGAGAACTGGGCTGAGCAGGCCGATTAGGAACACGTAGCTGGAAACAGCACAAACGCAAAAGAGGACTTGCGAAAGGGGAAAAGCGAGCTTTTCTGTTTTAGCAAACCTGCTGACGTAGGGATGCTGCCGCTTCTCTGCAGAAATGCTGCCTTCGGTGGACGGAATCCAGCCACAATCAAGCTAATGGGATGCACAAATGGAACGTTTTTCCAGGGCCCCTCCAATTTAATGCTCGATGAAATCACGTCTTTCGCATATATTTACAAAAGCTTTTCTTCATCCAGAAACGTCTGTTCAAATCGCTTATAGATGCTGAGATAGCAACTCACCCTTCTAATGTAATGAGATAAGTCATGTCGATCAACTTTGCTTGCTCAGATGTACTCGCAGAAAAGAAATCAGGCTACAGACTTTTTCCAGTCAACAGAACGAACCACCAGCACTCGATGGCTCTAGCATGTTCTACCTCATTGCTGAGGGGTGTTTAAAATTGCCCCCTCTCTTGCTCTCCCTCTCGCTCTCACACGCGTGGTGGAGTTTTCATTTTGGTAGCGGATGGAGAAAGGAGGTAAAATAAACTGATGTGGTTAAGAAGCCAAAACCGTTTGTCAGAACGCAGGGAAAGCCTTGGAGATTGGCGTCATTTCAAGACTAAAAATTGACTGAAGACATTTCTGTCCTCAAATCATTTTTCTTGCTAGCTGTCGCAGTTTCTCAGTCTGGTTTTGCCTGCGTTAGCTATCTCCACTCATACCTGACACCACAGGAACTTCACATACTGGGGAAGATTCACACACAGAGTCATTTGTGACACACAGTAAAATGGGCTCCGAGATCAAGAGTCCATGGAAAAGGCGAGGTCTTGAGAGGGTCATCTATTTGATTCCAAATAAGACGAGTCTTCCAATTTTTTAATTTGGAAACAAATTCTGTGGCAAAACGCCTAACAAGCCAAGGACCTAATCAGCCATCTCGCACAGACCTCGTCAGGGGCGCCGTAGACGGCTGCCACGTATGGGTGTTCAGGTTATGCACTTGATGACTTCGGGGGGATGCCATTCACATAGACCACAACATGAAGCTGCTGACTGCAGGTGTGCAACGTGACAGCTCTGCCCAGCCCCACCACCCAGGTCGGGGGACAAAATCATATTCTTGTTGATGGTGTCATGGTGCAATATGTTTCCACGGTCACACCACACACACTGTTGGTCATTCCTCAGAGAAGAAAATCAAAGTTCTCGTTCTGACATCAGCTCACAAAAGCTTAAAGCCTCCTTGATGACCTTTTCCTTCTCTTTGCAAAGCAATCTGGGGGAATATTCAAACCTCCAGACGGCTCTCTTTACTTCAAGAAATGGTTTGGGCACCATGATGAGGAGGAGAGGTGGGAATCCAGAAGAAAACACCATATTCCAGGTGCCCTTTCTGTCAGCTTTGGAAAGCACTAAAATACCACCGCCCCACCACTCAGGGAGAATGTGGCACGGCTCTCCAGCGGTCTTTCCTGCCACCAGGTCCAGACCATGTGGGCCAACGGTCAGGCTGTCCTGGGCCTGGACGGTGGAGAGGGGAGCAGAAACTCTCCACCCCCTTGCTGTACCGCTGTCCTCCTTCTATCGCCTTGCCCTCTGCAGCCTGAATGGCACTTCATAGGTGGGGAGAAGCGAAGCCTAAATATTTCCCGACTGCCCCTGTCAACTCTGAGTCCACCAGGATAATCTGGGGTTAACCAGAAAGGTCTTGCTTCTTATGCAGTTGCTTGAACTCTTCCCCAAACACACGGAAAAGTGTATTTGGGGATTTCGGGCATCCATTGCAATATGCAGTGGGTGACACATTTGCTAAAACACCCTATTTTTGCATAACCTGCCTTTTAAAGAATACCTCAGTGGTCTTACCTGCACTTTATGGGCTACTAGTGATTCAAGAAGGAGCCCAGGTGGTGCAGTGGTTAAGCACTTAGCTGCTAACCAAAAGGTTAGCAGTTCGAACCCAACAGCTGCTCCGCAGGAGAAAGATGTGGCAGTCTGCTCGAATCCGACTCATAGTGACCCTATAGCACAGAGTAGAACTGCCCCATAGGGTTTTCAAGGCTGTAAATCTTTACAGAGGCAGACTCCACATCTTTCTCCCATGGAGCAGCTGGTGGGTTCAAACTGCCAATCTTTTGGTTAGTAGCCAAGCACTTAACCACTAGGTCATCAGGGCTTCTTATAAACATATATAGCTACATAAATACACATGCTGTTAGGTGCTGTCGAGATGACTTTGATTCACAGTGACCCCGTGTAGAACAGAACGAAACGTTGCCTAGTCCTGCGCCATCCTCACAATCTTTGTGTACTTGAGCCCATTGTTGCAGTCACTGTGTCAATCCATCTCGTTGAGAGTCTTCCTCTTTTTTGCTGATCTTCTACTTTACACATAACCACTTACTAGGCAGAGTCTGTTGTCTATCCATGAAAGGATGTACCAGAAGCCAGTTGGCGTTAGGGACAGACACTGGTGTTTGAGGAGTGGGAGACGTACTTTTCACGGTGTGTGTACCAGTTTCATAAATTACCTATGATTCATCAGAACCTGAAGAATCTGCTTGGAGAGCTTCCTCCCAACTGCGAAACTTCACTTTAGGGCCCAGCTCAAATGGTCTCCTCACAGGCCTCTTCCTCGTTCCTCCCGACCAAAAGCAATACTTTCTTCTCTGTGCTCCAGATCCACTTTTTTAGACCTCCATTATGAGGACGCTCTAGGCTGACTTACTGACAGGCGACTTCTCGAGCTTGGGACAGGATGTTACTTACTTCTATAAGTCTAAGTAAAGGCTTACAGAAATCCTGGCGAAAGTTTGAGGCCACCACTGAAGCTGGCTTTCAGCTGTTTTACCTGTAGAAAGATGAGCACGTGAGAGGTCATTCTGGGATTTTTATACCCATAGGTACTATTACCCCCGGGCGTGTTGTTGCTGTTAGGTGCTGACAAGTCCATTCCAACTCATAGCTAGACCAAACACTGCCTGGTCCTGCACCATCCTCATGATTGTTGTTATGCTTGAGCCCATTGTTGCAGCTACTGTGTCAATTCATTTCCTTGAGGGTCTTCCTCTTTTTCACTGACCGTCTACTTTACCAAGCATGATGTCCTTCTCCAGGAACTGATCCCTCTTGATAACATGTCCAAAGCATGTGAGACAAAGTCTTGCCATCCTTGCTTCTAAGGTGCATTCTGGCTGCACTTACTCCAAGACAGATTTGTTCATAGAACTTCCCGTGATGATGGAAATGTTTTCTACTTATTCTGTCCAATACACTGGCTGCTAACCCCACATGGATGCTCAGTACTTGAAATGTGGACAGTATCACTGAGGAACTGAATTTTTAATTTTATTTCAACAGCCCCATCAGGATACTGCTATCTTACTGGACAGCTCGGTTCTAGAGCTTTCTGTCTCTAGGGACAGCCCGACCCGCTGAACAATACAATCCATTAGCAGGTTTAATTGTCAAGCAATTAAATTGAAACCAAGGTGAACAAAGTAGTTGCTTCTAACATAAAAGTTCCGTTTATTTATCGATGACACAGTACAGAAAGGCACATCGTGGAGTTCACTCCCATCTCCCTGGAATGTTCACGTCTTTGGCTAAAAGGAGAGGCTAGCCAGGAAAGCTATGCAACACGGGGGCCACTAAGATGGGGGGGCAGGGGCGGGGCCGTTAGTCACGCGCTGACTGTCTAGAACTGTTAGCTGGAAGCACAGGGAGCGTCACTGCTGGGCACTCGGGCCGTCTCGGCTTCAGTCGTCCCCGCCACACAGGTACAGCAGCGCTTTCTGGTAGTCACCCTTGGTGTCTTGCTACAAACGGCCAAGGAGAAAAAAGAAAGGTGCTATCAGGAAAAAGACTCAAACTCTGCCATAACATACAAACTGGCCCAGCCCAGAGCGGAGCACCCCACCCTAAAACGATTCTGCAGGATTTGTGGAGACTCAAAGGCAGCCAAGGCCACACCCAAACCATCATTACCCATCTCTGGGAGTGTGGTCAGAGGCGGTGCCTTGGGGAGACTTTCAATCTCATTATTACTGCAAGGGTGGAGCAAACAGGAGGTGCTGAGAATGTGGGTAAGTGTCTAGAACAATAGAATCTACCTGCTGGGTCAGCGATGCCCTGCCAATGCTATCATTTCCCCCTCGCCCTCACCCTTCCCGACAGGACCGGGCTCTTTACTGCCCACTGCGCTGTTACCAAGTGGATTCTTAAGGTCACAGGGAAACAAGCTGGGCAGGAAACAATTTCCAAGAGTCTAACGAGTCTCTAAACTTTCAACATAGGCCCTAACACGCCGGGTATACCCAACCACCTCTGACGTCTCGGTAATCACTGACATATGCCTTTGGAAATTTCAGGGTCTTTTCTAAAGGGAAACTGCAAAGCTCATCTGAACTAGACACAGAGGTACAGAACTAGAACACCACGATCACTCTTCCTACACAAACGTTCCGTCTGTCCAAAACAGACAGAGACCAAATCGGTAGAGGAGACGGGAGTTCTTAAGTTCTGAGACTGAGTAACTAAAAGTTGCCAAGCCTATCACAGGTGATTTTTTAGACATGGGAATAATAAAATGTAAAACTTAATTGATCTTTAAAGTCTCCTCCGGATGTCAGTGTGGCTTGTGGGATCATCATCATAAATAAAATACCTATTATCCTTATATAATAACAGAAGTGGGAAAAAGAAAATATTCACCTGATTCTATACATATTCCAGGACAAATCAAAGCGGGTGTTTTCAAATAAATCCCTGATATTCCATAACTAGCATCCCTTCCCCAGAGAATCAGAAAACAGGAAATCAACCTGCTGTCACTACCCTGACAGGCCACCTTTCCAGGGACCCCGGGACCTCTGGATGGCAGGGCAGAGCCGACAGGACCTCAGGACATACCTGGATGCAGGAGTACAGGGACTTGCCGTACTTTTTCTTGAATTCAGACCTAATTTTCAACATGTCCACTTCACTGCGGGAGACCATGATCCTAATGAGGACCTTATCACGAGTTCCCTTGCCCTGAAAGTCAAGTTGAGGTTCCAAGTCAACAATCCAATGAAAATATCATCATAGTAAAAGAACCTCACCAGTGTTTTCTTGCATATGGAGCTGATCTAGGATCTTGTGCTGCCCTCTAAGAGACTGTAAAGATAACAAACCATTTCCTTAGGAAAAATGAGCACAGTGGAATCCCAAAGGCTCAAGATGAAATGTGCACAACCTCCACTGTGAGCATTCAAAAAACGTACAGAGAGCACCTACTACTGCAAGGCTCAGTTCCAGGACGTGCATGTAACAAAAGATTCCTGGTTCTCAGGGGCTTGGGGAGGACGAACGCCAACACCTTTTTTATTGTGGCTCTACGCCATTTTGAATGGTATGAGCAGTAAGGACCACCGAATTTACTTCCACAGCCTCAGACTGCAGGTCCCAAGGAAGCAGTCACATTTGACATGGAGCCTGAGGAAAGATGGGAGAGAGGCAGGTGGAGGAGGGGAGGTGATCCAGGAAGTGGCAAAGGCATGGAAGCCAGAGAGCCGAGGTCTGTTTGAGGTGTGGACAATGGGATGGATTTATGGGAAGATAAGGTTCATTTAAAAGCGATAAGTCAAGAAAGTTCAACTGGGAACAAATTGTAGAGGGCTTTGAAGAGTGGGCCAAGGAATTTAAACCTTGGGAGGCAGGGTTACAGGACTGGCTTTGGAGTCAGATAGACCCAGGCTCAAATCTGGCTACAGAACCTCAGGTAAGCTGAGACTTCCCGAGCTCCGGTCTCTTCACCTACAAAGAAGAGAATAATATGGCCTCATAGGGTTGTTGTCGTGATTTAATGGGACCCCTTGCACAAAGTAAGCAGCACAGTGTCCACTGCATGTTGCTGTTGTATGCCATCGAGTCCATTTCAACTCACAGCCACGCTATGTGACAGAGTAGAACGGCTCCATTGGATTTTCTTGGCTGTAATCTATTTTTTGACACTTAAAGATTTGTTTGTTTGTTTTATTGTTGTAGTTTAAGTGAAAGTTTACAATTCAAGCCAGTCTCTCATTCAAAAATGTATACACACATTGTTATGTAACCCTAATTGCTGTCCCTATACTATGACAGCACACTCCTCCTTTCCACCCTTGACTTCCGGTGTCCATTCAACCAGCTCCTGACCCTCTCTGCCTTCTTGTCTCACCTCCGGACAGGAGCTGCCCATTTAGTCTCATGTATTTACTTGAGCTAAGAAGCACACTCTTCACGAGTATCATTTTATGTCCCATAGTCCAGTCTAATCTTTGACTGAAGAGTTGGCCTCCGGAATGGTTTTAGTGCTGGGCTGACAAAAAGTCTGGGGGCCATGCTTTCTGGGATTCCTCCAGTCTCAGTCAGACCGTTAAGTCTGGTCTTTTTACTAGAATTTGAGTTCTGCACCCCATCCTTCCCCTGCTCCATCAGGGACTCTCTGTTGTGTTCCCTGTCAGGGCAGTCATTGGTGGTAGCCAGGCACCATCCAGTTCTGGTCTCAAGCTGATGAAGTCTCTGGTCTTTGTGGCCCTTGCTGTCTCTTGGGCTAATACTGTCTCTGTGTCTTTGGTGTTCTTCATTGGCTGTAATCTTTATGAAGCAGATCACCAGGTCTTTCTCCTGCAGAGCCACTGGGTAGATTCGAACCACCAACCTTTAGGTTAGCAGCCGAGTGCTTAACCATTGCACTACCGGGGTTCCTTCATCTACTGCATAGTCATTGCTTAATAATCTCTCCTTTTCTTGCTTGTCCTTACTCTGGGGATCATAGGAGGGAATCTCTGAAAAGACTCAAACAGGAATCTGATACAATTACTATCTAGAATTTTCTCTCTTCCACAGCACTTTATTTTCTACATGTACACAAACATGTGTTCAAGTGGTTGTGTGGTAGGTGATGGACTTGTGGTTTTCTCACCTGTCAACCACAGCTGACTAGTGTGCTCCCGCATCTAGACATCAGGGTCCCTTCCTCGACCCACTAGTCAGTACTTTCCAAAACCCACAGGAGACTTGGGTTGGATGACAAATGAAGGCACAGCCTGGTGTGGAAACACTGGCCTCTCAGCCAACCGTCCTTACCTTCATGGAGTCGTAGAGTCGATCCGCAAAATACAGGGGCTTGTTCTGGATACACTGGACTGTGGAGAGAAGAAAAGGGTGAGGGGGCCAGCCACTCCTCTCTCCTCCACCAGGCGGAGGTGACTTGACTTCAGGGCACAAACCAGAAATGGCCTGACGCAACAGAAACGGCTGCAAAATGAAAAACGCTCAGGGACAGCTGGGGATCCTCTGAAATGCTGAGCTCCACTGTGGTCGTAAACCAGGGGGCTCCTGAGGGCTGCAGATGCCCGGCCGGCAACATGAGCCTCACCAACACAGCCCTTTCTTCTCTTCTCTTATTCCACCCTGGCAACTCTCTAGTCTGTCAGTTCAAGCCCTTCCTCAGTTTCGTATCATCAAATGTATACAGCTACACTTACAAAACTCACCAAACTATGTGTGAAAGCCACACCTCCCCAGCACACGTGTGTTAACCAGATAGCCATTTATTGCTTTGGTTTCGGCACTGTTTACCAAAAGCTGATGTCCACCAGGGATGCATGGGTTGCTTACCCAGGTTCAGGAAAGCATTTTCCAGGTCTCCTCTGACTTCCTTCTTGATGCTCTCCAACATGTCATAGGGGCTGTAGTTCTTGTACCTTTCAAATACTAAGGGGAAGCAACACATAATAAGAATAACAGAGCCACTAGTCAGAGCTTTCAGTGGTCCCCCACACAGTTATGGACCATGATAAAAAATGAGGATGATGATGGCATCCTAGAAAGTGAAGGGTCACATGGTGGACTAGGGCCGACATTCCACCAGTTTGCCCTGGAACAGCCATACCAACACGTGTTCTAACAGGCCATGTACCTGTCCTCAATAGTATGGCCCAGGCCCCATATTTTGACCATCTCCCCTGAGTGGAGCCCATTCTATCTGGAAGGCATGAGAAACAGCATCCAGCACCCAGAAAAGTTACTACATCAACAAAGATGGTAAGACAAAACGATCCTCAAACAAGAAGGGGTGGCAAGCTAAAGCTCACACGGAACATGGAATATATTTTGGGGACAGAAAGATCCAAAATGGGAGAGGAGCATGAATGGACGAGGTGAGCCTCTAGGAGTGCAGAGGGGACAGTGAACCACATTCTGGAACCCTCGCCCTGCCATAAACACCTGGCCACCTGGAGCACCGTGCGTTTTGGCTCCTAGGCTCTAAACCTCCTCAGCACAGCACCCACCTTTCTGGAGGTGGCACACGCTCCGCTCGGTCATGATGCTGATCCACTTGGGAACGTCGGTGCCCCTCTTCTTCACTCCAGCATCATAGAGATCCTACGAGCAGAACCAACCAGGAGAGTTAACCGCAGGACCCAGAGCAAGGTCATAAATCATTTCATGTTAAAAAACCAAACACCTACACGTTCATTCGAAATGCCAAATAATAAAAACGAATGATTGCACTGCAGACATGGGCAAGAATGTACCATTAGGTCAAAAAGTCTTAATCACAAGCGAGCTTCCTTAGCCTTAGGCACAGACGGATACAGCAGGAGACGGTAGATTCTTCATGGTGAGTATTGTTCAAATCTCCTTCCTTGAACAGGAAACGACCAAGAGCTTCTAATCACATAACGAAGGACAAGTAAATGTCCATTAGCACGTGTGGCCCTCCTGCCTTTTGGCACTTCTAGCAGCAGATAGGCTAAGGGTCATCTACAGAAGACAGATGTGGGTCAGATACCTACACTCAAGCTTGGCAGAGACTCAGGACATCATGGAGCTGGAAAAGGAACTGGTCCAATCTCAGCTTCAACTTCTGGAAAATTTAGGGGCTATAAGTAAGACTACGGAGCACTCAGTGGTTAAGCGCTTGGCCGCTGACCGAAAGGTCAGTGGTTTGAACCCACCAGCCGCTCCGTGGAAGAAAGATGTGGCAGTCTGCTTCCATAAAGATTTACAGCCTTGGAAACCCTATGGAGAAGTTCTACTCTGTCCCATAGGGTCACTATGAGTTGGAATCAACTTGACGGCAATGGGTTTGGTTTTCCGTTTTGTTTTGTTTTTTGGTATAAGTAAGACTAGGAATGTCAAGGAGGGAGGGAAGGAGAAAGGCTTATGCAAGGGTAGATAAGCATTCAGTGCCTCTCCACTATCTGGAAGCTGCAAAACCCAATTTCTATTATCTTATTTAAAATCCTTCTCCACCCCCTGCTGAAAGTGCTATGTGAAATAGGTTGAATTTTAAAATGAAAATGAATTTAAATTAATTTTGTCTTGAAACTCTTATGAAATGTTTTGAGAAAACTGTTGACCCTCTGGGAAGGGAACACAGCTCACAGCAATCTCAATCAACTTAACGAAAAGTTATTACAGAACTAGAGCTTGCAAAAGTTCTATTCAGCCAGAAAAGAAGGGTCCCGTTCCAGACCACAGTGGGGCAATAAGTGTTCCCGTGCCTGGCTGTGCCTCCACCATGTTCTTCTGCTTCCCCCTGTTGCTTACTCTTTGAGCATTCATTTGAAGCAAATGCACACCAGTGTGCACAGCTCAACCACATCCTGAAGAATGCAGTACTTCTCATATAAGCAAAGCCTGAATGAGCTTATGGGAGTCAGGCACTGATCTTGTAATCCACACCACCAGCATAAAGGAAGTACCTTGTAATAAGTATCGCTCCCAGAGAGTGAAAACGAAACTCATATTCTCAGCCTGGGGTGGGTTTAAAATATGCCCACACATGCTTTGACATTCGTCCCCTCCACAGGTGGAGCCTAGTTCTTCTCCCGTTGACGGTGGGCAGACTTAGTGACTCACTTCTAGCTCACAAATAGAATATGGCAGAAGTGATGGCTTGTGACTACCAAGATTAGTTTACAAAAGGCACTGTGACCTCCTCTGTGCTTTCCCTCTTGGATTAATCGCTCTGGAGAAAGCCAGCTGCCATGTTGTCAGGAAGCTCAGCCACCCCAGGGAGAGGCCCATGTGGAGAGGGACTAAGGTCTCCTACCAACAGTCACGTGGGTAATCCATCTTGGGGCAGGGAGGTCCTCCTGACCCAGTCAAGCCTTCAGTGACTGCAGCCTGACCAACATTTTGTCTGCTACCTCACAGGAGATGACCCTGAACCAGAACCCATCTAAGCCCTCTTGAATTCCTGACCCACAGAAACTGAAAGACAATCAATGTTTACTGTTTTAAGGCCCTAAGCTGGGGGCTAACGTGTTACCCGGTAGGAGATAGCTACAACCCACACTATCTGGGGACTTAGTAGAAAACAGAATCTCAAACCAGGAAGCTTGGTACTTACCTGGGCATCCTGGTCAATTAGTTCATAATCAATGACAGAGCCATCCTCTGCTCTTTTACCCTGCAGGGGGGAGAAAAAATTAAAAACCTCAAATGTATTTCTTTGTATAGTTAAAATGGGAAATGGAAGCCGTTATTTAATTTACTGAAGAAACACCATTTAACTTTTTTCTTTACTTTGAAGCTTAGGCAAGACCAAGGAATGGAAACATAGCTGAGGCAGTGAAGTGGGGGGGTTAAACCTGACCATCATCAACTCCTCATTGATCCAGTCCTGAGCTAAGCACCTTCCAGCGTCCACCCTACTCCAAACAAAGGCTCATGATATTTGGTTCCTTCCCTCAGAGACAATCCAGATGGAGAAATAAACATGGAAAAAATGGTAAGATAATGTAATAATCTATAGTGCTAAGAGGGAACCCTGGTGGGGTAGTAGTTAAGAGCTACAGCTGTTAACCAAAAGGTCAGCAGTTGGAATCCACCAGGAGCTCCTTGGAAACCCTGTGGGCAGTTCTGCTCTGTCCTGTACGATCACTATGAGTCGGAATCTACTCAACGGCAATGGGTTTGGTTTTTTGTTGTTCTTTTTTTTTTTTAACAGTGCTAAGAAGACAGGAAATGCAAAAGGGGAGAAATCTGTCAGACAGTGTAGTCAGCGAAGTCTTTGTGACTCATGGGATAAGGCTTCAGCTGAACCTTGAGATGAGTCAAATAAGGCTAGTAAGGAGGAGGGAAAGAGGTCACACAGGCAGCGACAGAGCATGCTCGCAGGTGAGGTGCCACCCGGCTGGAACAGAAGGCGGGCACTGCAGGGGGAAAGAGGTCACACAGGCAGCAACAGAGCAGGCTCGCAGGTGAGGTGCCACCTGGCTGGAACAGAAGGCGGGCACTGGAGAATCCCAGGGAAGATGATGAAGTTAGTGGGGAGGGCTAGGGTAGAGAGGACCTTTACAGACAATTGACAGTGTGGATCTGATGCAGCAGAAAGAGGTTTTGATCAGGGGAGTGATACGGCGAAAGTGGATTTTAAAAAGCTCTTTGGATGGCGGTCCACGGGTGGGAGGTAGATGAAGAGATGAGAGCCCGGGAGAACAGCATGGGAGGGTTACGGTCATGGAGATGGGGGGGGGGGGGCCATCAATCCCTGGTCATCAGGGTTCCTGGAGAAATTTTCTCTTCCCTCCTCTGGCACATGAGGAGCCCTGGTGGTGCGATGGTTAAGCGCTCTGCTGCTATCCAAAAGGTTGGCGGTTGGAACCTATCCACTTGATCCGTGGGAGAAAGACGTGGAAATCTGCTCCCGTAAAGATTATAGCCGAGGAAACCCAATGGGGCAGTTCTACTCTGTCACGTGAGGTCACCACAAGTCGAAATTGTCTCGCTGGCACCTAACAACAATTACTCCTGTCTGGAGGCATTAAATTATGGGCTGGCCAGAGCTCAGACTCAGAGGGGGAACCTTTCGTCCGCTGATGTGATAACAGGAGCGCACAGCTCCACAAAGACCCCTGCCTCCAGGCAAAGGGCCGCAGGGACACAGCCTCTCACAGGAGGTGACAGCAGGGAAGACAAACAAGGGAGTCACTTCCCACCGGTCCTGTCCTGTGTGACCACAGAGACAGGCAGAGTGACCTTCCCTGAGTCATGCGGTGAGGGCTGCCGCCCAAACCCCGGCCAGGACTTGAGAGCCGCCTGTCCCTTTCCTGGCCCCAAAATCCACTTGTCCGTGAGGTTTTGCGGAGTAAGAAATCCTATTACATAAAAATGACCAGTCTGCAGTGACAGTGCAAACCCACTGTCGGAGATGTAGCTGGATTTCTGATGCAGGCACAGGGGATTTGGTTAACTCGCTCCCAGATATAAAGCAAGGTGTGTAACTTGCCTTGAGACGAAGCAAAGGCGAAGAAACAGAGAAACCAACCTTCGCGAGGACAACCATCAGCTTGCGGAAGTCACCGGACGTGTCTGATACAATGTCCTTCTCCAAGTCAGTCTTGTACACTTGGAAAACAACGTATCAGGTTGTACACTGCCTGCCTGTCAGCCGACCGCCCACCCCCCCAGTGACCCCATCCCCCACGAGACTCTGAAAAGCAGGGAAGGCTGTGCCAGCGTGGATGTCTCCATGCCCCGAACCTCCAAACTGAGGGTGGGTTCTCTAGAACGATGTCTGCCCTCCTGAAATCAGACTCAATGTCACTACCAGGGACAAGGGACAGGCAGGGCTGCATCAGATCAAGGATCCTCAGGCTCACCTTTGATCAATGGCTTCTTTTGTAGCCAAATCACTCGTCCCTAACCTTTTTAACAAAAAGACTCATTTTGAACAGAAAAAAATGTGGAGGTCTATGCACATCTGTGCTGGTGTATATGATTGTGCCTTTATTATGGGCTGACTGAGACCATTTACAACGGCAAAAAGCTAGTGAGAATTAAAGAGTACTTTCGAGAGAATTTGTACTTTGTTATTCAAAATAGCATGAATATTGAAACATAGTACCACACGCTCATGCAAGCCGTATTATTTATTCTGCCCACAGCGTCCTATGCTGCTTGGAGCACACAGGTCTCCGCGCCTCAATTTTCCACAGTCCAGAGCTGGGAACCTCTTAAGCAGAGACTGAACAGCTGTCAATAAATGAAATCCATGTACTATTTTCTACTTTTCCTACCAAATCTTTTTTTTTTAAATAAATTTCGTTTTCTCTCCTTTCCTTCCTGTCTATCCTTTCGAAGAAGTTCTAGTGGAACTTGATCAAAATCCAGGCAACAAGGAGGTGAAAGAGAAGGACCTGGATCATGGAGAACGACCCCTGGATGGTTGAGATGGAGGCACTTCTGCAGCTAAGCGCTCAGCCACTAACCCAAAGGTCGGCAGTTCAAACCCAACCAGCGGCTCTGTAGGAGAAACACCTGGCGATCTGCTCCTGTCAAGATTACAGCCTAGGAAACCCTATGGGGCAGATCTACTCTGTCACATGGGGTCACTGTGAGTCGGAATTGACTCAATGGCGCCTAATGCAATATAATCATGCATCCTGTCCCAAACACTTGTCCAGGCAGCCATGGTGGAGTCACAGACATTGGGCTGAGAGGATGCATCACAGAAATAGGGCTACTCACTTTCCTTGTAGACTGTCTTAATCTCCTGCAGCTCCTGGTTGGTCCTTGAGCAGATGATCTCGATGAGGGAGTCCTCATCGGTTCCGAGCCCCTGTGAACAAGGCAGCAGGACAATCAGCAGGGACAAGTCCTCCTGGCCATGAGCCTACTCTCTGATCTCCATCAAGTACATTGCAAATGTGGATAGGGTCCGACAGCATTCCCCTTCTATATGCCCTCTGAGAGATCAGCATTGCATTCCCCAGCAGAAAGGAATGTTATTTTCCAGTCCTTAAAAAAATGCCTAGCCAGAATACAAAATGATATAGATGGCGTGTTAGAGTTCAAATATATATATTAAAAAAAAAAAAAAAA